CCACTCTGGCCACCAACTTTACCTGAGACACGACATGCTGGAGCTGCTTGCGCTCAGCATCAGACGGCCTAGGGTGGATCTTGATCGCCTTCTTGGCCTCGAGATCCGCCCTCCAGTTAGCCTGGCCCATGCTGCGCTCGGGCTGCGGCAGCATATCTATATCGTCCAGCTTCCTATGAGCAGGCGTGTGAACAGCTGGGACATACTTCTGCGTTGCCGAGTGTGTCTGCGAGGTCCTGCGGGCTCCTCTTGTCCAGCCGAGGGCTCTTGCAGGTGCCGCAGTCGCCTCGATTTGGTCGTTCTGGATCAGCCCCAGCGCCATGTCATCGCTTTGGAGGCCAGCGGCGATTACCCAGTGTTTTTCTGCTTCAGTTGCCGTGCTTATTCGTCGGGGTCCCAAGTTTTGCACGCTGGGGGAGGAGCGCCTCCCCCCGACGACGTCGGGCAACCGTGACTGGAAAAATATCAGGCAAGGGAAACATCCCGATAAGGTCGGTGTCTCTCTCGATTCAGACGTGATCAAGCAGCTTTTTTGTCCTTCGGGCCTGGATCTCGCTCGTGTGCTTATTGTGCCGAGCGACTCTCCAGGTGGCTTGCCCGTTTCTATTGTCTCCCGTGGGGGGCGCCTGTCCAGGTGTCGGCGGCCTCTGGTTCGGGGGCCTCTGGTTCGGGGGCTGCCGCCCTGCCATCCAAAGCGAGGGGCCTGGGCGGCGGGGGCCGGGGGTCGGGGCTGCCGGGAAAGATCGTCTTCGCTTGGTGAGGGAGGCTTTTTTCTTTGAAGAGGGCGAGTGCCCCCTCCTGCCGGCAGTCGGAGAGATGTCGGGTGTTTCCGACTGAGCTGTCCTTTCGGGCTAGCCGCAGCCTGCGTGCTAAGTGGCGCCGTCGACGGCAGAAACGCCGAGGGGGGGGCACGTGGGCCCTGGTTCCGAGGTGGTTCGGGGCAAATTCAAGACACCCAGGGCGACCCGAGAACAGTCGCATTCGTTTTTTCAGCGTGCAGCGCTCATTCTTAATATTTGGACAGCAGGCCAAGCGGCGCGCTAATGACTTGGGGTGGGTAGTGGGGTGAGGAGGATGACAATGGGGGATATGCGACCTCTGCAGGTTTGGGGTTGCCCTGCTAAACCCTGGGTAGCGGCCCTAGAGTCGCAAATTCTTTTACTAGGGATTGCTCGGGATCTCTCAGCATACTGACCCAGTGTTTCTTATTACTCACGTGGCCAGCCAGCAAGACATGCACCAGCCACTCACGCATGTTCATTTTATTGCAAGGCCCAGTCAAGTTTCGATGTATTGCGCATGCAGCCTCTGGCGCAGCCAGGCAGCAACATTTTGGCGACAGCCACGTTTTCACTGCGCATCGATGGCTGCATGCTCCCAGCCCCAGTGTACTAGCAGCTCCTCGGCAGTATTGTTCACTACCTGACCTGTAGTGCACCTCTCCTTCCTTTTCCGCGCGGCTCTTTGACGCGATGGTGGTGTCCAATCTTATGCAGGTTCGGGGTTATCCTACAAAACCCTGGGATCACATTTTTTCGCGCACTTCACACGCGCGCACCTTACTTCGCTACTCTATCCTTTCGTGCTTGCCATGCGCGCTTCCGTTTGGAGGCAGCCTGTATTTTGTTCATCCTTTTTGTTGCCCTGGATTCTGATGCAGGCTGCCTCCATCAGCGACCCCCCAGAGACGCCATCGTCGCATTCAGCTACGGTGGTGGCTGGGCGGTATATGCGGCCTCAACAGGTTTGGGTTGCCAAATAAAACCTTGGCCAGCGGCCCTGGGATCGCGCATTATTTTACATGACGTATGAGCGTGGCTGCTTATGTGCAGCCTCGGGCACAGCCAGACAGCGGCACTTTGGCGACAGCCACTTTTCCAGTGCAGTCCCTGCAACACTTTTAAGACAGGCAATTCGTAGTTGCCGCTGCGTGGCCAGCCAACAGGACATGTGCCAGCCTCACATGCGCTCTTCCGTTTCAGATTCAGTTGAGCCTCGAAGTCGTGCTTGCAGCCTCGGACATAGCCAGTCAGCAACGCTTGCTCGCGTACTCGCAGGCACCGCTATACGACAGGGTGGGGAGGTGGTTCTTGGGAGGAGGTGCGGGGGCGGAGGATGCTGCGAAGCGTGATCGCGACACTTTTGAGTAAAGCATCAGCAGACGCCACAGCGTGGCCAGCCAACAAGCCACGCGCCAGCCACTCACGCGCGTTTTCCTTTTTTTCTGACCCGGTTAAGCTTCGAAGCATCGCACATGCAGCCTCGGACACAGCCAGGCAGCAGCACTTTGGATATTTACTTCTGCACAGTAGTGAACCAGCAATTCCAATTCATTTTTTACAGGCCCGCACGTGAGCAGCTGCCCACGTAGGACGTCGCATCTGGGGGAGGTGTGGGTGGCGATGCGTATGATGGGTGGGTTGGGCGGACATGCTTAAGTGCGTCGCTTCATGTACTTGCTGCTCGGCGTAGCTCCTTGCATTCTACAGTTTTTTGTTCCCAACCATCCTGAGGTGTTGGGTGTTCGTTCTGAAGAGACGGCGCCCCGCGTTCCTCTCCTCTACTCCTCCCCTCCCCCCTCCTACCGTCCGCGCGCGCCCCCCCCCGTCCAGCGCAGCGTTTCGTGGCCCCATGAGCGGGGGCCACCAAAGGTCCCAGTGCTACAGACCGCATGCGCCCCCCCCCACCCAGTACAGCGTTTCGTGGCCTCATAGGGGGCCCCGCCGAAGGTCCCAATGCTACCGTCCGCATGCGCCCCCCCGCCCAGTACAGCGTTTCGTGGCGCCACAGGGGTCCTCACCGAAGGTCCCACTGCTACCGTCCGCATGCGCCCCCCCGCCCAGTGCGGCGCCTCGTGGCCCCATAGGCGGCCCCGCCGAAGGTCCCGTCCGCATGCGCCCCCCTGCCGAACCCACCCAGTACAGCGTTTCGTGGCCCCACAGAGAGCTCCACCGAAGGCCCCAGTGGGACCTTTCGCACGCGTCCCGAAAACCAAATGTGGCATTTTCACCCACGCAGTACAGCGTTTCGTGGCCCCATAAGGAACTCCACCGAAGACTCCAGTGGAATTTGGCACTTTCACCCACCCAGTACAGCGTTTTGTGGCTCCATAGGGAGCTCTACCGAAGCCCCCAGTGGAACTGTCCGCGTGCGTCCCGGAAACTTAATTTGGCATTTGCACCCACGCAGTACAGCGCTTCGTGGCCCCATAGGGAGCTCCACTGAAGCCCCCACTGGGACCGTCTGCGTGCGTCCTGGAAGTGAATTTGGCACCACCCACCAATCACAGCGTTCCCCCCCGCCCAGCGCAGCACTTCGTGGCCCCATAGGGAGCCTCACCGAGGAACATTTGCACGATTGCGGTGCCCACAACTGCATACGGTTGGGTCCTTCGCAAGGATACTGTTTCGGAGTGGCCCCCTCCCCGGGTATGCTTTTGCGTCCCGAGTGGTCTCTTGGCGGCCCGAGAGCCCGGCGAGGGCCCCCACAGGCCGATGGGACCGGAAAATTTCCGTGGTGTTTTTTCCTAACCATCCTGTGGTGTTGGGTCCTCGTTTTGAAGAGACGGTCCTCGTTCTCGGCGCTCCGGCGCCACCGCTGGGCTCTCGTAGGGCCGTCCCCGCCAGGACGACTGACCGGCGCCTCGCCTCGCCTCGTCTCCCGCTGCCACCTCCCTCCTCCTGTCCCCATCATCATCGCCATCACCCGTTTCAGCAAACCCCTCACACGTTCGTGCTCCCATAGGGAACTCCACCGAAGGTCCCAGTGGGGGTGCCCGCATGCGTCCCCCCTGCCCAGTACAGCATTTCGTGGCCCCATAGGGAGCTCCACCAATGGTCCCAATGGGGGTGCCCGCATGCGCCCCCCTCACCCATTACAGCGCTTCGTGGCCCAAGGGGGTTGCCAGGATGCGTCCGCCACACCAAAGTACAACGTTTCGTGGCCCCACAGGGAGATCCACCGAAGGCCCCAGTGGGGGTGCCCGAATGCGTCCCCACCACGCAGTACAGCGCTATGTGGCCCCATAGGAAGCTCCACCGACGGTCCCAGTGGGGGTGCACGCAAGCGTCCTCCCCCACCCAGTACAGCGCTTCGTGGCTCCATGGGGAGCTTTACCGACGACCCCAGTGCTACCGCCCGTCCCCCTCACCCAGTACAGCTTTTCGTGGCCCCATAAGGAGCTCCATCGACGGTCCAAGTGCTACCGCCCGCATGCGTCCCCCCCCCACCCAATACAGCGTTTCGTCGCCCCATAGGGAGCTTCACCGAAGGTCCCAGTGCTACCGCCCGCATGCGTCCCCCCCGCCCAGTACAGCGTTTCGTGACCCCATAGGGATCTCCACCGACGGCCCCAATGCTGCCGCCTGCATGCGCCCCCCCCCACAGTACAGCGCGTCGTGGCCTCACCCGGAGCTCCACCGACAGCCCCAGTGCTAATTACCACCCGCATGCGTTCCCCCCCACCCAGTGCAGCGCTTCGTGGCCCCATAGGGAGTTCCACCGAAGAAAATATGCACAATTGCGGTACCATCAACTGCATATGGTTGGGTCCTTCGCCAGGATAATTTCTCGATGCCGTTGGAGGTTGGAGGTCAGAGCCTCCCTGCCATGTGATTGGTAAGGCGTCGGGTTGCGCACAAACAGTCCCTCCAGGTAATCCCGGTTGGCCTCAACAGGCAGCGTCATGGTGTCGAGACCGCCCCTGGGTTCACCTGGGGCCTGTTGAGGCCAGCTGGGGCTTCTTGGGGCGCCTGTTGAGGCTAGTTGGGATTACTTGGAGGGGCTGCCTGTGCGCAGCCCGAAGCTTTACCAGTCGGCTGCCCTTCGGTCGCTCTGCACCTCTGCTGCCTTCCCCTGGGTGACTAGTGCTCTGGTTTCGGTTGCCCGTCGATTGCTCTGGCCGCGCCTGGCCCCTCGGCTGCCCCTCGGTTGCCCTGTCCCTCGGCCTCCCCCTCTTCTCTCTTGTTCCGTGGCCCCGCTCGCATGCGGTCCTTTGCCAGGTGAGGGCGAGGCGCCTCAGCGGCGTCGCGACGCCCACGCGCGGCCCGCCAGCCGACGGCTGCGGCCCGCGCGGCTCCGCGCGCGGCTCCGCGCGCGGCTCCGCGCGCGGTGCGCCGTCGCGCTCTGGGAGCCCTTGCCGGACGCTTGCGGCGGCGGAGCGGCCGCGCGCCGTGCGGTCGCAGGCGGGCGGTCGACCGATGAGCAACGTGTAATCACCACTCACCAAACCACCCCAACCCAACCCGAAGGCCTCAATTTGACCTCCATTTCCAGTGTGGGGGGGGGGTCGGGGAACATCGAGAAAACGCATATGGAACCCGTACCCCCCCAACCCGAAATTCGGGTCTTCGGGTTGGGTTGGGGTGGTCTGGTAGGTAGTCATGTAAAGGGGGGTGCAGCTCGAGTTGGAGTCGGCTGGGGGTCTGAGCTGGCCCAGCACTGGTTCCGCTGAGCAGGAAGGGGGGGGGTGGCGGATTCGAGGTTCCGGGTTCGAGAAGGTTTTTTTATTTGTTTTTTTCGGCCTTGGGGGTCCACGTTCGGGCCTTGGGATCGTCCAAGCAGATCCGGGGCGAACCACTACGCTAACTGGACCTCGGGAGGGGTCCAGGGACTGATTTTGAGCGAAATGCTCCGCGTGCCAAAAGGAATGTGCATCCTTTCGCTCTGCCCGATGCCTGGGGCCACTTGGGCTCAGGCGCCCCGGGAGGGGTCCAGGGACTGAGTTTGAGCGGATATGCTCCGCGTGCCACAACGACTGTGCATCCTTTCTCGTGGCCATTTGGGCTCAGGCGCTATGCCGATTTTGAAGAATTCTTGGTCGCATCTGCTGGCCCTTGGGCCGTGCGCCCTTGACGCCGCGCGGCGGCGGGTCAGCAAGGTGCTTTGTGAGCACGACCTCCTCGGCCCGCGCCTGGCGCTGCAAGCAGAGGAGGCCGAGTTCGAGGCAACGCTCGTGCAGGCGGTAGAGGCTGCGGACCTCAGTGTGGGGGAAGCGCGGCTGCCGCTGAAGGAGCTCGGGGACCAGGCGGTGGCCGAAGAGCCTGTGCAGCAACGGCTGAGGGCGTCCATGGCCGCCCTGAGCTGGCCATGCTGACGGACGCAGTGGCGCTCCCCAGGATGGTTACCAGCCGGAGTGAAACCGAGGCCCCATCACCGCCAGGGGCCTGTGCGATGGCGGGGACCCGCTTCGGTCGGAAGCGCCGCGCGGCTGCTGAGGAAACCCGCCGCGGACTGGAGGTGCAGGAATGGGCTCTGTGGAGGCCCGCCTGGTAGCGCTGTTCGAGAAAATGGGAGCACCCTCGCTTGAGACGGCGCGCTTCTGCATGGACCCACAGCCGGCAAAGGACGGCATCACGGGCCGCACGCGCATCAACGCGGTGAGGTCGTACGTGCGGGCCATGGAAACGATGCGCAGGTGGCTCTTGCGCGCGCGCGGGGCCCAGTGGCCCGTGACGATCGCGTTTTTCATCGACTGCGTGCGTGCCAGGGCTGCTGAGCCGTGTGGACCGACGGTGCCCAACCAGACTTTGCTCGCCATGGTGTGGACAGAACGCGTGGCAGGCGTGGGCCAGAACGACGGGCTTTCCACTCGGCCCGAGGTCCAGCAGGTCGGCGCGAACGTGGAAATGCTCTTCGGCGCGGGCAGAGTGGTCCGACGACGAGGGCGGCGCGGTTTCACGGCGCTTTCGTCGGGTCCCTGGAGCTGCTGGTCATGGGTGCGGGCCTCGCGCGGCGCCTATGTGGGGTGGCGTGGATTCGCCGCGTCAAGGTCTGGGCATTGTTGCGCTTCGAGGTCCGCGGCTGGCTCCCGCCGCAGCGTCTCGCCTTCGTGGAGGGGGGCTGACGGCCGCGCTGGGGCGTGCGAGCACTAGCGGGGCAGGGCGCAAGATGCCAGAGCTGCCGCCCGTGGTGTCCTGCGACTGCTGCGTGCTGGGCCCGGCGAAACGGGCTTCGACCTGCGGCGCCAGATCGCCGACTTCGAGAGGAATTATTTCCCGTTCCAGTGCGACGGCGCGGGGCAGGGGGTGGTCCGAAATCCCGCCAGGTACGCGGAGGAAGCAGCAGTGCGACAGGCGGTGCTCTGGGGGGCGCTGAAGCCAGTGGCGGGTTCGGGCGACGAGGTCGAGCTGCTCGTCTCCGAGGAGATCGCGAGCTGGGCGGAGCGCTCGGAGTGGGCGACGATCCCTTTGGCGACGGCGGCGGTGGGGATTCGACTGCCTCGGCCAGTGGTCGTGGGAAGGCGCGGGCGCCTGCGCGAAGGCGCGCTGCGCGGTCGTGTTTGCGGTCGAGCAGCGGTTCGCGGAGGCGCCGCGTTCCGGAAAGGCCTGCGTGAGTCCGGGCAAGGCGGCGGCCATCCCAGGCCCGGCGAAGTTGCTGGCGTTGAAAAGTTCTCGGTTCGGATGGCGGCTGGCGCGGGCCGCCCTTCCTCTCGCTTGTGGACCCCTCTTTTTTTCCCCCGCGGCAGCAGGGGAATCCACGGCGGGAAGGAGGCTCCCAACCGCGGGGATTCTATGGAGGGTGGGCAACCCATGCCCCCTCGTGCGCGAGCACGGTGGGGTGCGAGGGGTGGCGGAGTTTGCGAGATGGGGCGTGGGGAACGAGGTGTGGTGGCGGGGTTCGACGCTAGCACCGTCTAGTGGAGGGCCCGGGGGTCCGCGCCCCACGCTTCCAGCCCTGCGACCTCCCCGCCTTGGTGACCCACCCCCATCTCACCAAAAAGACATCCGGTTTTCTGGGAGTGGCTCGGGCCCCTTCGCGACAGGGCCCGGTTTCCGCCCCCCGTCTGTTTCACCGCCATCGCACCGCTTGAAGGGCTATTCAAAGACGGCCTCAAACCCTCTCTTGTCTGATTGTCTCGGGCCTCATCCACTTCAGACCTTTAACCGCCTCCAAGTCTCGAGGTTCGGGGCCCATAGGTTTTTTAAACGTCCTTGTTCGTTTTCGGCGGCTTTCCACGCCGAGGGCGCTCCAGAGGAGCCCAGATCGTCCCGAAGGGCCCCCGGGGAGCCGCGCTGTGGCCTGAAAGCCAGCCCAGGGGCAACGTTGGGCTCAGGGGGAGCATGCGTCGACCCCCGATCGCCCATTCATCGCCGATAGGGGCTTGACGGCCCACCCCGCCCAGCAGGGTGCGGATCCGTTACCGAAAGCTTATCGCCGAGCTATCGGCGATGTATCGCCGATTCCATCCTTGAACTGGCCCCCCCTCCTCGTGCCCCCCTTCAGCCGAAGCGCGCAGGCCCCCCCGTCTCCACAGCATCGGCGGGCCAATCCCCATCCCCTATGGGGTAACAGCTAGTTCCTGTTTGGGGTGGCAACCTGGAGGCGTTGAAGGACCTTGGCCCGCTGGGGATTGTAATCGGTGCCCGTCGGTTGTTGAAGTGTGTATTTGTACATTCCCAGGTTCCAGCCCACTTGAGGCGCCTTCTATTTCAAGTGTGGGCCAGTCATCCCGCTTGACTCCTTTTCAGGGGGTGCGCGGAGATCCAATCTATTTCCAACGCCTTCTATTTCCTACTTCATGTTTCTACCCACTTCTTCCGACCTATGCGTTTTGATGATTCCCGTCCCTTCGGGCCAGGCGAATGGGGTGGATTAGGAGAGGGGCGGTGGTGAAAACTGCTGCATGCAGTTTTTTCTGCCCCGCAGCCAGGCGCTTTTCTCGATACGCTGGCGCAGGGAGGCGCAGGGAGAACCATCTTCGCGAGCTGATTCGCCACCCCCTTTTTGCTGCACCCCTCTCTCGCCCAACCTGTCCCTCCTTCCCGCCTCCTGCGACAGGGGCCGTGTCGGCTCGGCGGTGACCTCCCCGCGGGCGTTCCGATGCCGGCGGCGGCCCGGAATCGGCCGACGCCGACGGACCTGTATGCACTGTACCGCGTCGGCGTTTCCCGAGGTGTCGTCGATCTTCGACTCAGGAATGGTACTGTGCATAGCTTCGGCACTGTGCATGAGCGCCTATCTCGTACATTCAAAATCAACGCGCAGGTCGCAGCGACATGAGCCCGCCATGTCCCTCCACTCCTCCCCGGCATGAGCTCTTCGCCGCGCCGCTGGGCGCTATCGGCGGGGCGGGCCCAGCGTGTCGCTCCCGATGCTCCCCCGCATTAAGAGGTGTGCAGCTCATGTCCGTTCAACGTAGGAGGAGGAAGAGGAGGAGGAGGAGGAGGAGGAGGCTGCTGCTGCTGCTGATGATGCTGATGATGCTGATGCTGATGCTGATGCTGATGCTGATGATGATGATGATGATGATGATGATGGTGGTGGTGGTGGTGGTGGTGGTGGCCGTGGTGGTGGTGGTGATGATGATGATGGTGGTGGTGGTGGTGGTGATGATGATGATGATGATGAGAAGGAGGAGGAGGAGGAGGAGGAGGAGGAGGAGGAGGATGAGGATTGTTGTTGTGGTGGTGATGCTGCTGATGATGATGATGATGATGATGATGGTGGTGGTGGTGGTGGTGGTGCTGGTGGTGATGATGATGATGAGGAGGAGGAGGAGGAGATGGAGGATGGAGGATGGAGGATGGAGGATGGAATATCGATGGGTGAGACCAGCCAGAGGCGCGCGCTGCGGCGCGGTTGCTGCACGTGCTGCTGCGGGCGCCCGCGGCGCGCGCAGTGGCTGGCGCCCTGTCGACGTGGCGCGCGCGGGGGATGCAGTGGGCCTGCGAGCAGGTTGGCGGCGAGATCCGATGCCTACTCCACATGCCGTCATAAAAGGCAGGGGGTAACAAGACTCCCAGACAAGCAGTTTTAGACCCCCGAGACCAATCATGAAAGGGCGGTCATTTGCCGAGACCCCCCAGAATCCTTCAAGACATTTCAAATCAGACCCCCCAACAAAAATCATGTAACTTTGTTTTTATGATGAAATCCGGTGTACCCTCGCCTATCAACGGTTCAGGCAGCTCGACGGGCGGCGGGGGTAAGTTTCGGAGTTCGTCGAATACGTGGCCAAATCCGAACCCGCCTCCTAGCGACTCAGGAGAATCGATGGTTGGTGGGATCGGCCAGGACTAGGACGAGGATGAATCCGTTCCAGAGCCTTCTGGAACGCTCTCAGAGCGTTCTGGAACGCTTTGAGAAGACCGGCGCCTGACGCAAGCAGCACTCTCATCTTGAGATTGTTTGACTAGGGTCGAAGTGGTTTACTTAGAGGCTTCTCTCGTGATCTCAGAGATTCTCGATTTATCCTCACCCGAATCTGTCCTCGTCCTGGCTTCGTCTTAGGTTTGTGGGGGTAGGGTTCGGATGTCGCCACCTGGCAGGCCCGCCAGCTAGAGGTGCAGCGCGTGCGCTCCGCCGCCAACGCCCTCGTGGAGGAGGATCCCGGGGGGGAAGTCTGGGAGTCTCGGGCTCGAGGTCCGAGGCTTTCGGGCGTTTCCGCCGGTCCTTTTTCGAGGTGGGGATTTATGCATAATCATCGTCTGAAGGATCGATTTTCCGAGACCTCGACAGGCGGTGGATATGGATATATTCGGCCCCCCTGGGGTCCAAATGCATCCATATCCACCGCCAGCTGGGGTCCTGGGACGCCGGTTCCGCAGGCGGTGGATATGGCTGTAGCACCCCCGCCTCGCATCCTCGGCGGTTTTCCAGCTTGGGGTGCGTTCCGCGCGGCTGCGCCTCGCCGAGAGGCATCTTCACGCGCGGCGGCGCTCTGCTGCCGCCGCTCTGCGGGAGGGGGGGGGACCAGCCATGGTTCTGGCGCGGGCCGCCTGAGCGGGTTCGGTCGAGGAAGCGCAAACATGGATTGAGACGCGTGGAGGAGCGACGGGTCCCGTTTCGCTTCCGTACAGAATCAGCGCGTTCCGTCGCCAAATCAGGCGGCATTGGCCCCAATCCGTGGATCTGGCGCCCAGGCGCCAGATCCACGGATCCGTAATCCATGTCAGCGTGCGCCCGAGTTGGAGTGGAGTCTTCACTCCGTGGCGCATCGCCGACGATCCGAGGCCCGTTCACAAGAGTCCCAGCATAGCCGAGGCATGGACGACGTATTGGCGATGGGGTGCGATTTTTTGGCCCGTCTGTTTCGGCCGAGGTCTCCAGCAATTTGGTGAAGACCGAGATCGGCTTCTCGCTCCCCCTTGAGTCATCACCGTCTAATCAACCGTTCCTTCCCTACAGGCCGTCCCGCATCGGCGTCGAGGGAAGCCAAGGCAGCGATGGACGGACCGATTGATTTCTGGACTGTCATTCCATGTTCCTTCAAAGGTACTGTCGCCATGCATGTTGATTCCCATGTTCTGCTTCATGACTGGACTTGGGCCGATCGGGCGTTGCGTTGCATTCCCGCTGGGCCTTGCTCCGCGAAGCCCCACGGGGGCAGCAAGCATCCCCACCCAGGGGGGCAAGTCGGTCAGCGGTGCCAAAGCCGTGCCGGCGGGGATGGCCGTGCCGTGAAACGGTGCCCAGGTTCGACAAGCAGACTTTACATCGATTCGACTCGACCTGGCTAGATGAAGCTGCCAGTGCACTTGGGAGGGTCTCCCTCTGCCACGGTTTCCGCACCGAGCTGCGCAAGTCACGGGCGAGAGGAGGTCCAGCTGGGGTTCATGAGTGCCAGGATGCCTCTTGGGTAACCCTCCGCTTGGTCGATTCGATCCAGGAGTGTGCGATTTTTTGTCGGCATCTCGGCCGAGGGTGTTCCCAGCAGTGCCTTGCGCGATCCCTTTGGAATGGCTCGCGGCGTCACTCGGAGGTCCATAGCAGCGGCCGTGGTCAACGAACTGCGACGCGGCCAGTGGTTAGCAGACATTTTAAGTGTCCTGGACTGGGATAGTCCCCACCAGTCCCCAGCAGCTCGCCACGACCGCTGCCAGTTAGTTGTGGCGAGACTGGCGAAGTCTACCCTTGAGGACGCTCGCGCGCAGGGCGAGGCGCTGCGAGATGCGCGGCATGAGGCGCTGCTGCAGCAGAGGCTGCGTGGACTGGAGGTCGGGCGCCACCTGTGTACCGACGCCCAACTTGGATAGGTCCATCTCGGGCTCAGGATCAATGTGCACGTCTTCCCGGCCTGGCTGGGATAGCATTCGCGCCAATCCTGGTCCCGGGACCTGGGACACGCGCTGGGGCGCGAAGCTGACCGCGCCCCGCGCGGCGCGCAGCTCGGGGGGTCAGGCGATTGAGGAACCAGGCTCGATGCAGGTGCGCCGCGCCCGATACATCCTCCAGACCTGTAAGGTCTCAGAGATCTCCGATTTGTCCCAGTCCGATTTGGCCCCGTCCTGGCTCCGTCTCAGCCAGGCGACCGAGGAGCAGGCTCGACGCAGATGCGCGGGCCCCGCGTCATCGGAGGAACTCTGATTCTGAACTCGGGTCTCCGGGGACAGTTCGGGACGATTTGGGCGCCCTGTGAGCGCCCTCGGCGAGGCGCAGTCGCTGGCAGGCATCCCGAGGCTGGCAAGCCGCAGAGGACCGATACAAACGCCCCGAATCTCCAACGTTCTAGGTTTAGGTCTATCTGTTTCACAGGTGGTTTGAAATATCATTATTGTCGAGAGGTGTGTTCGTTACGCTCACACAGGCCGCAGTAGTAGTAGTAGTAGTAGTAGTAGTTGTAGTAGTAGTAGTAGTAGTAGTAGTAGTAGTAGTAGTAGTAGTAGTAGTAGTAGTAGTAGTAGTAATAGTAGTAGTACTAGCAGTAGTAGTCGTTGTCGTCGTCGTCGTCGTCTTTGTCGTAGGACAGTAGTAGTAGTAGTAGTAGTAGTAGTAGTAGTAGTAGTAGTAGTAGTAGTAAGTAGTAGTAGTAGTCGTAGTCGTAGTCGTAGTAGTAGTAGTAGTAGTAGTAGTAGTAGTAGCGTAGCAGCAGTAGCAGCAGCAGTAGTAGTAGTAGTAGTTAGTAGTAGTAGTCGTAGTAGTAGTAGTAGTAGTAGTAGTAGTAGTCGTAGTCGTAGTAGTCGTAGTAGTAGAAGTAGCAGTAGTAGTCGCAGTGGTAGTAGTAGAAGAAGAATAGTAGTCGTAGTAGTAGTAGTAGTAGTAGTAGTAGTAGTCGTAGTAGTGGTAGTAGTACGAGTGTAGTATGTAGTCGTAGTAGTAGTGGTAGTGTAGTCGTAGTCGTAGTAGTAGTAGTAGTAGTAGTAGTAGTAGTAGTAGTAGTAGTAGTTGTAGTAGTCGTAGTAGTAGTAGTAGTAGTAGTAGTAGTAGTAGTAGTAGTAGTAATAGTAGCAGTATTAGTAGTAGTGGTAGTAGTATCAATCGTAGTAGTAGTCGTAGTAGTAGTAGTAGTAGTAGTAGAAGTCGTAGTAGTCGTAGTAGCAGTAGGGGTCGTAGTAGTAGTCCTCCCCGTTTCCGTTACGCGGGTCGTTCGTGCAGGAGTAATGGTATCACCCGTCGTCCAGTAGTGTAGTAGTAGAAGTCAGTAGTAGTAGCGTAGTATCCAGTAGTCATAGTAGAGTAGTAGTAGTAGTGGTCCCAGCCATAGTAGGAGTACTGTGCTAGTCAGTATGAGTAGTATTGATAGCCTAGTAGTAGTAGTAGTAGAACTAGTAGTAGTAGTAGAAGTAGTAGCAGTAGTAGTCAGTAGTCAGTAGTGGTCCGTAGTAGTAGTAGTAGAGTAGTTCCAGTTAGTTAGTTCGTAGTAGTTAGCTAGTAGTAGAGTTAGTTAGTAGTAGTAGTTTAGTCTGTAGTATTAGAGTAGTAGTAGTAGTAGTAGTAGTAGTAGTAGGCGGTTAGTAGTAGTCGCCCTCCCCCCCAGTTAGTAAGTCGTAGGTCAGTAGATAGTAGTAGTGGTACTCGTCCTAGTAGTCGTTAGTAGTAAGTAGTAGTAGTGAAGTAGAGTAGTAGTATACGCTCAGGACAAGTAGTAGTAGTAGAGTTAGTAATTGTAGTATAGTAGTAGTAGTAGTAGCAGCAGTAGTAGTAGTAGTAGTCGTAGTAGTAGTAGTAGTAGTAGTAGTAGTAGTAGTCGTAGTAAACATAGTAAGAGCAGTATTATTATTAGTAGCAGTAGTAGTATTAGTAGTAGTAGTAGTAACAGTAGTAGAAGTAGTAGTAGTAGTAGCAGTAGTAGTAGTAGTAGTAGTAGTAGTAATAGTAATAGTAGTAGTAATAGTAGTATTAGTAGCAGGAGTATTAGTAGTATTATCAGTAGTAGTAGTAGTAGTAGTAGTAGTAGTAGTAGTAGTAGTAGTTGCAGCATTAGTAGTAGTAGTAGTACTAGTAGTAGTAGTAGTAGTAGTAGTAGTAGTAGTAGTAGTAGTAGTAGTAGTAGTAGTAGTAGTAGTAGTAGTAGTAGTAGTAGTAATCGTAGTAGTATTCGTAGTTGTATAGTACAGATCATATTCAGCATACTCGTATCAATCATGGTATCTATAATGACAATATACGTGTCACGCTTAATAATCAGCATGCCATTAATGATCTTGCGATTCATATAATGAGTATTACTAGCCACAATATTCGTACTAATACGACGAAGGAGCATAATACCAATAAACAGTACAAACCTGCCGAGGTGGAGCGCGCGCGGCGCGCCGAGGCGCTGCTCGGCGCGCAGCGGCTGCTCTCCGCCGCTGAGCGGGCGCTTTGCCGGTGGCGCGCCGCGGCGCTGGCGGCCTCGCTGGCGGCAATGGCGGCCGCGCCCCTGCGGGCCGCGCTCGCTGGGGGCGCGCAGGAGGACTGCGCGGCGCTGGGCGCCCGGGCTCGCCGCCGCCCTCCTCCGTCCTCCCGCTTCGCCGGTTTTTGCTTGCGCTTTTGTCAATGCGTCGCTGAGGGATGAAACAACAGCAACAAACAGTTCGCGGTTCCCGAATTGCATAACACTCGGCCGTCAGCCTTGACAGGCCCCATTGTTTTTGGTGTGTTTGAGCCCGGTGTTGTGCGCAGAGTGGCGCGCTAGCGCGTCAAGTTTGTCTTGCGCACCGACTTCCTCTTCATGCAGTGGTGCACAATTGGTTCGCACTCCTTTCCCGCACTGGTTGGGTCGTCGGTCCAGGTGTGCAAGTAGCCTCGCCGTTCGCCCTCCTCCACCTTCGCCTAGGGTGTATGGTCGGGGCCGCGATGTTTTCCTTCACCGCTGGACAGGTAGTCATATAAGTACTGCCAAGGCTGTGATTTGAGCGTGATGCTCTGCACTTGTGACCCAAGACGGCACTGGAACGCGATTCGAAGAACAAAAAGCGGCGTAAACATAACTTTTCGACGGTCCGCGCGGATTTCTTGGATCCGCGCATGGCCCCCCTGGCGGCGCTGCGCGCCGGGGGGGGGTCCAGTGCAGATCCAAGAAATCCGCGCGGACCGTCGAAAGTTTATTTAATCGCTTCGCTCATTCCGCCAGCCCATTTTCGCGCACCGCGAGGCAGTGCACAGGAAGCTCTTGGGAGTCCTCCGAGGCTTTTGGGGACGTCTTAACCTGGAGTCTTTTTGGGGCTCTTGGGGGCCTCTTGGCGGCTTCCTGACCGCCTGTTGGGGGCCTCTTGGGACCTCTTAGGGACCTCTGGGGACCTCCTGGGGGCTGCTTATGGCCAAGGGCTCGACATTTTGTTTCGTCTCCATATGGGGCCTCTCTTGGGGCCTTCTTGGGCCATCTTGGAACCGCCCCTTGGGCCGTCCTGGGGCTCTCTTGGGGCCCTCTTGGACCCTCTCGGGGCGATCTTGGGGACCGCTTGGGCCGTCTTGAGGCGTCGGGAAGCCGAAAAGGGGGAAACGCCCAAATCAGTCCAAACCTAAGGGAAATCAATGACTTTTACCTCTTGGGGTCCTCTTGGGAGTGCTTTTGGAAGCCTGGGGGCAATCTTGGGCATCTTGGAGCGATCTTGTGGCATCTCGGAGCCTTCTTGTTCTATCTTGGGGGCCTCTTGGGGGCCTCTTGGCCCCTCTTGGGGCTTTCTTTCTGGAGGGCCCCGAGGACGGCGCCCACCCGACCCGACCCAGCCGGGGATCTCTGACCCGAGCAGGCCGGGGACCGCCCGGGGTACTTTCCGTCTGGGGACCCCCAGTGGCCGCTCCGCGCGCGCGAAGTAGAAATATTGTACGCAGTTGCCAGAGATCTTAGCACGCCTCTGGCCCGTTGGGCCGGCGAATTCCCAGACAGCTCTCTGAGAGCTAAGAGGGTTTCATATTAGATGCCGGCAGCGCAGGGTAGGCCAGCTCCTCTCCAAGGCCCCTGGGCAGCCATCCCGAGCGCGGCTTGCTTTAGCGTGTTTCGGCCAGCGTTTTCTTACTCGTTCCCAATACGCGTGCCTGAAGCCTTGCCGCAGGTCCTTCGAAGCTCGTTCGAAGCTCCTTCGAAGCTCGCGTTTTGAAGCTTGCGAGCTCCCCAGGCATGCTTTCCAGCGCCTTGGCAAGCGTCTCCCACAAGCTTTTTCCAAGCTTGCAAGCTCCCAGGCATGTTTTCGGTCGCCCTTGCCCGAGCTCCCATGAGCGTTTTACGCGATTTTGACTGCGTCGCTATGCGGCTATGCGGGTTTTGGACTGCACACGTGTTTATGCAGTTTTTTCGGTCTCGCTGTGGAACACGATGCTCCCTTCCGCCGAGTCGGTCCGATCCGGCTCCGCCTCCTCGCCCTCTGCCCCCTTCCTTCGCCTCCGTCTCGGGCGGAAGCTGAGTCGCGGGGTCTTGCGGGGGGCCTGGAGCGCCCTCGCACTCCCCGCCCGTGCTGAGTGCGCGCGCCGCGCTCGCAGGGGGCGCGAGGGAGGCGTTGGGAGGAGGAACGAAGTTTTTTGAAACCCTCTAGCGCGTTACTGTCAGTACGCAAGCCCAAACCCCCTCCCCCCCCCCGGGTAACGTAGGCGGGGGGGGCTGGACCCACCCCCCACATGCTGGTGCTCGCCCGCATACTATGGCGATCGCAGTGCACCCCCGCCCCGACGTGCCCCAGCCCGCCCAAACGCTACCGATACCCGACATAATGAAGAAACAATATCAAAGGTACTAGTACCGATACCGCTACCTTTCCCTCACTTTCGCCTTTTGGGCCTCCTGGGAGGCTCTTGTCGCCACGGCTGGACTCGCCTCGAGACTCCGGTCAGAACGCACCATTGAATAGATCCAGGGAGTAGCGGTACCGGTACCTTTCAGTTTTCCCAGGAGTGCGCGGCGCTGGGCGCCGAGGCACCGCGGGTGCTGGAGGAGCTTCAGATCTGGGCGACGTAGCAAAATCGTGACGGTCAGTTTTTCAGCATTTTCGGCCTCAGGAGGCCGTTTCCTGAGTTTGGGACCCTGCGTAAGCGACTCGGGATGAAAATCCGGCCTCGGGGAAGTGGTCTAAGCCCTCGGGGACCGACGTCGCGAAAAGTTTGTGAGCGTTGGGGGGGTGATGGGCTCAGGGGGGATGCATCGACCCCCGATCGCCCATTCATCGTTGATAAGGGCCTGATAGCCCATCCCGCCTAAGTAGGAACGTGCGGTTGTGCTACCAGGGGCTTATCGCCGATCCATCGCCGTGTATCGCCGATTCAAGCTCGATGTCATTCCCCCCCTGAGCTGGTCCCCCCTGACGTTTCCTCTCATCCTTGGGGCAGGCCACGTCCGTGGGCCTAGCGGTCCCCGCCACCGCCAGGGCACCAAGACGCTTCGAGCCGTCTCTTCCATGGAGAGCATGTATCTTGACGGCGATGCTGACCATGGTGTGGCCAAGGTGATTTGGTGGCGGTGACTGTGAAGGTGATGCGGATGGCCATTATCATGATGGCGATGAGGGCCGCTGATATGGATGCGGATCTAGTCGTTGAAGTCGGTGTCGATGTGGGTGCCGATGTAAATGCCGAGGCTGATATTTCTGCTAATGATGACTGACGACGAAGACGACGCCTGTTGCAAGGTATGGCCGGACATACCGTTCATCCCCGGGTGGAGGACGTGGGGGTGCGGAGGAGGGATGGCGGATCGGGGCGAGCGCATGTTCTGTGGCGACCCTCGGAGGCCGCTCGGCTGGCCGCGATGGATGCGCAGGTGTGCGCCCAGCTGTCCGCCGCGCTCCTCGGGGCGCGCGGGCGCGAGAGGGGGCTGGCCGTGACAGCCGAACGGCCCCAAGCTCGGCCCACTTCCCAGATGCACCCCTCTCCTGGGGAGGAGGAAGAGGAGGAGGTGGAGGAGGAGGAGGAGGAGGAGGAGGAGGAGGAGGAGAGGAGGGACGGAGGAGGAGGAGGAGGGGGAGGGAGGGAGGAGGAGGAGAGGAGAGAGGCGAGGAGGAGGAGGAGGAGGACAGGAGGAGGAGGAGGATGAGGAGGAGCAGGAGGAGGAGAAGGAGGCGGCTGGCCGGCCGGCTGGCGGGCGGGCGGGCGGGCGGCGGGCGGGCGGGCGGGCGGGCGGCGGGCGGGCTGGCGGGGCGGGCAGCATGCAGACAGCCAGGCAACAGGCAGGCAGGCGTTGGGCGGGCGCGGCGGGCGGCGGACGGCAGGCGGGCGGGCGGGCGGCGGGCGGGCGGGCGGGCGGGCGGCGGGCGGGCAGCAGGCAGGCAGGCAGGCAGGCAGGAAGGCAGGTGGGCAGGCAGGCAGGCGGGCAGGAGGCAGGCAGGGAGGCGGGCACGTAGGCAGGCAGGCAGGCGGGCAGGCATGCAGGCAGGCGGTCGGGCGGGCGGACGGGCGGGCAGGAGGGCGGGCGGGCGGGCGGGCGGGCTGGCGGGCGGGCATGCAGACAGGCAAGCAGGCAGGAAGAGGGAGGGAGGGAGGGAGGGAGGGGAGGAGGGAGGAGGGAGGGAGGGAGGGAGGGAGGGGAGGGAGGGAGGGAGAGAGGGGAGACGACGCACTTGTTCTAGGGCGGCAGCGATTGCGCCCAGCCCATCCGGGCGACCAGCGGGGTCGACCAAGGGTGCCCGCCGTCCCCAGCCGTTTTCGCGATTACCGTGGCGGGTGCTTTGAGCGAAATCGACAGAAGGCTCCAACAGCTGTTCCCGGAATGCCGGGTGTTTTCTTATTTGAACGACATTATGGTCTACGCGCCGCCGGTGCACACCACCGCGGCGGCGCTTCTGGTTCCTGAGGAGCTCACTCGCCTCGGCCTGTCGGTCAACTTCGGCAAGACGCAAGCCTGGGCAGCCGACCGCGGGGCCCCGCTGCCAGCCGGACTCGCCGCCCTCCGGGCTGACAACGTGCTCTGCCTCGGAAGCGCCGTTCCTTTGCTAGACCAGCAAGAGGACAAGGTTTTAGTGCACGCCGGAGCCGACGGCGCCGCAGCAGTGGGTCGCGCGCGGGCCTTCGCCGCGCGGCTGCGGGAACTGAGGACGGCCGGCCTCTCAGCCGAGGCCACATGTACGTTTTTGTGCACTTACGGGCTGGGATGCGCCACGCACCACCTCAGGACGAACTTGTAGACAGACTGGGTGCGGGAGCTCGACGACGTGCTGTTCGCCGCCCTCGAAAACCTCCTCGCGGAGCCCATGGACGATGTGCGGCGCCTGCGAGCCACGCTGCGCCTTTCCGACAGAGGGTGCGCTTTCCCTTCTGCCGCTCAGACCGCCCCGGCCGCTTACCCCGCTCGCTGGGCCCTCTGCATGCACGACGTGGCCACCAGTCTAGGGGTCAACTCCCTGGAGGAGTTTCGCGCCCGCTGCCCGCGCACCCTCCAGGCCTTTGCCCAGGCAGAGCAGGCGCTCCAGGACGCCGGCGCACTCGGAGGAAAACCGCCAAACCTGCTCGACTACATGCGGGAGCCGTAGTACAAACGGCAGGGGATCGGGGGGAAAGCCGCCTCAGAGGCTAACAGGGAACGACTCTTGGACACGCTGCTGGATGAGGACGGCGCCACTGGACGCCGCATCTTTGTGGACTGGGCCGTGGCCTGCGCACGCTCAACGTATGCCCCGCGAAGGCAGGCCCGGTCCCACAGGAGTGGCTTGGCGGCGGCACAGGAGGTCGACAGCAGGAGGGCGCGGTGCCCCCCGCGACATGGTGTTTGAGGCCCAAGGGAGGTCCTCCAAAGAAGCTGCGGCCTTCGTGCGCAGCTCCGGCGCCGCCTTGGTGGAGGACGAGCGGGACGAGCTCTTGTGCCGCCTCTGGCTCGAGATTGCGGTGACCCTACGGACGGGCAGCGCCGAGATGGTTCTCAGCGCCCTCGGGCA